TCCGTTGAATATGTAACATATTGTAGTAATTATTTTTACTACTTTTCCTTTTCTTTGGAAAAGGGTTAAATTTACTCTTTTACTTTTGAATATTATGGGATATTTGCATCTAACTTTTATTAGCTTATCGTGTCAAAATTATCCCAGTCATTGACAAAGTAATAAAAAAAAGGCCAAATTCATCGGCGGCCCCCTGAAGTTGGCACCAAGTTTCACTTAGACTCCTCAATTGGGCAATGTTCATTTTAGACACCTTATGTAAGGTCCCTCTATGTCATTTTGCCACTTTTTTGACAATAAGCAGAAAGTTGAAGGAGAGCGTAATACACTCGTTGATGACGTGACAAACAACCAATTAAATGATTACATGTGTAATTTCAAGTTAAAAATTATTTTAAAATCTACTTAGTAAATAAAATAAAAATATTATTCTAAAAAAATCAATTTAACCTCCACCCCCCCAAGTAGTTGTCTTCTCTACTACACCCAACTTTTTTTTTAATCAATTTTTTAAATTGTTTCGGATCTCTTTTGTTCTTTCTTTTTAGTATTGCTTTGTGGGAAGAAAAGAGGGAGAAGAAGAAAGAAAGAAAGAGAATAAATATGTGTTGGAATTCAACCCTCTTGAATTATGTAAAGGAATACGTACTCACTATTTGTTTCTCTTTATTTGAAGCTTAACGATAAATAATTTTGTATAACACTTTGCTCAACAGTTTGTATTATTTATAAACCTCCAAATAACACAATGATTACAAAGCTATGTAACCTAAGGAATTATAAACTCTAATTCCTAACTATCTAAGACAAAAAACACCAGGTTTAAGTCTTCTATTCGTTCTTCAAGTTATTCAAACTTGTCAAACGAAAAACCTACTCACAAACACTTGATTGTATTAAAAAAACTCTCGACTACAATCGTACAATATTTCTCTCAACTCGCAGTACTCCCCAAAATAAAAATCAAACCTCTCACAAAACTCTTTATCGTGTTTTGATATTACTCTCAATGTGAGTGCTCAACTTTCTTCAAAGAAACTATTGCCCTATTTATAGATCACGCCTCCTCAAAGTCCTTGTTCAACTCGAACTTGTCTTCGCCGCTAATAAGCCTTGTTTAAAATGAACTTGACTAGGACTCCTCCTTGCACTCGACTTTGAAAGGAAAATTGTCGCATAATTGTCCTTAATTGAATGAGAAATAGTTTTCCTTAATTGAATAAGAAAACTTTAATAATCATGAACTCCTTCTTCTACTCGTATTAGATAATACACTTTGTATGCACTTTGACACAACTTGTTCTATGTACTTTGACATTCTTCAAAACTTAGAGGCTTTAACAAATTCCCCCTTTTTTACTATGGCAAATTCTATCTGCTTGCATTGAACAGATAAACACATATGCATGTTGCTTTCCCCTTTTGACCTCAGGCAAAAAACTGGAAAAAAAGTCCCATACACTTCATAGCAAGCAATAATATCATAACAAACCATAACCAAGAAAACTACTAACTTAGTCATTAGTTACACAACAGAATTAAGCAACAAAAGAAAACATTATCCACCAATAAGTCAGAGATGCACACTATAGGCTTACAAAAAAGACACAAAACACATCACCCTGCACAATTAGATTGGTGTGGAATCAGAGGGAGGAACAAGGGAGGATGAGGACGAGGCACCCTTATATAACAACTCAAGGATACTCTTCAGATTCCCTGAATTGATATTCCGTTCATTTTGCAAAGCAACCTGAGTCTGAGCTAGTTCTTCCTTCACTTTACAGTTCTCAGCAAGCAACTTCTCGCGTTCCAGTTTATTAGCAAGACATAACTGATCTACCTCTGCAGAGTGAGCCACGCGTAAGGCTTCCATTTCCTTATCCTTTGCAGTCAGAGAAGCTTTCAATCGTTGCATTGGTGCATTTGCTCCTCTCTTTGTAGCATGTACAGTTACATGATCCACCACCCCTAATATATCATTGATGGATTGAATCTGCAATTCTTTAACTGGAACACCAAAATGCTCAAACACCATTCCCAGCCAAAACCCATACGCCAATCCACACTCCTTTTTATGAAGCATACATAGACCATGTATATGACTAAGAATCAAGACAGGTAAGTTAATTTGAATCTTCGACAACAACAACTCCATAAGAGTGAGATCCAAATAATTTATTTCCGTCCTCTTTTGCTTTCTAGGTAGAACTATTTTATGGATAACGTCAAACAACAACTTATGCAAAGGTAGCATGGCCCCCTTATCAACTCTAGTATACTCAGCCATTGTAGGATAATTGGAGAATCGTCGACATATGTCAATAGCAGAGATATTTCCCTCCAAGGGTGGCCAATCACGCTTAACATAGTGACCCCATCCCATGTTTGGTACCCTGAGTATAGAGGATAAAATCTCGGCATTGAGTGTGAACGAAACACCACAAACAGTACGCGTAATGGATGAGGCAGACCTTGTGGCATTAATGTAGAACTCCCTGGTTTTTCCCCTATCCATTATACGCCTATGGTTTCCTTGAATAAGTAATTCAGTCCATCATTGGGTTGCAAAAGAACCGGTAATTCACTCATCTCATCACTCCCAAGCCTAGTAATCATTCTTCCCCTAATTACACTTCGTCTCCTAAAGGATAGAACCCTAGCAGAGTCAATTTCATCAGTTTCTTTGGGATCAGATTCTTTTGTTTTAGATGTATTTCTTTTTCTACTCTTCTTGGACTCTACTATGCCATCATCAATGTCAATAGGATTAGAGAGGGGAACAAACTTACTTTTCACAGGACGAGTCTTCTTAGTTGACTTAGACAGAAACGTTTCATCCCGAGTACGCTATACAGATCGAGTCACTTGAACCGTGCCTTTACTGATGGGTCAGATGTAGGATTTTCTTGTGCCTCAGGAAGAATCATAGCAATGGGTTGGCAAGAGATTACACTAAGTCGTGATTGTAGTCTTTTAGAGAGAAATTGGACCAATAGAATATCATCGTCATCATCATGAGTGGGATGAACCCGATCCTTCGAAGATGTAAGTTCCCTCTCACTACGTGCACTAGTTTCTTCCCCAAATCAAACCCCAAACTCTTGTTACTTCTTTCCCCCTGAGTCGATGCTTCTTCCATGAAAGGGTATGCAAGATGGTTTATTCTGTACGAGTCGATGTACATGACAACAGGTACGACGAACGAGTTTTCTGGATTATCAAAGAGGATGATAGCATGGTTGAGATTAGATGGGAAATCCATGATTGGAGAGGGAAATGGTATAGTGGTGAAGGTGTTTTAGTAGAGATGGAGTGTTTTGGTGGATGAAGAAGAATGAAAAGTAGCTTAGAGAGAGATTGCTTGGGAAGTGGGAGGGTTTTTGGAGAAGTAAGACAGATGGATTTGATGGTTTGAAAAGTATGATTGGATTTTTGGCGATTTTAAGTCATGATTTCTGACAGCAATTTTAATGAGGGAACGGGTAATGTGCACATGCAAAGTATTTTAGTATTTTTAATAAGTATAGTATACATGCCTTCCATTGTAGAATAGTTTTCCTTGAAGTCCTAATTCCTTGAGCCTTTAATTTCCTGAGAATAGTAGAATTTTTAGTCACAAGTCATTAAGAGTATTACTACAAAAAATATGTAATTTGGGACCACGGTTTATTCTATAAGCAAATATGCTTAGGCTATTTTTATCATCCCTAATTCCAACCGGTTCCTTTCAAATTGTTCCCTTGCTAATGCCTTAGTAAAAATGTTAGCAATTTGTTGTTCAGTGGTGCAAAAATTCATGGAGATTAGCCCTTTCCCAACATTGTCCCTTAGGAAGTGATGACGAATGTCTATATGCTTTGTTCTCTTGTGTTGGACAGGATTTTTTGCAATGTTAATTGCACTTGTCTTATCACAAAAGATTGGAACACAATCAATATGAAGACCAAAATCACTAAGCTGTTGTTTGATCCATAATAGTTGAGCACAACATGAGGCTGCTGCTACATTTTCAGCTTCTGCAGTGGATAATGCTACCAAATTTTGTTTCTTTGATCCCCATGAGATTAAACATGAACCTAGAAAGTGAGCCATACCCTGTGGTACTTTTTCTGTCTGCTAGATAACTGGCATAATCTGCATCAACATATCCTATTAGCTCGAAATTACTCCCTTTTGGATACCATAGTCCTAAGTCAGTGGTTCCTTTTAAATATCTGAAAATTCTTTTAACAGCTTGGAGATGAGATTCCTTGGGGTTGGTTTGAAATCGAGCACATAAGCCCATACTGAACACAATATCAGGCTTGCTAGCGGTGAGATACAAAAGTGAACCAATCATACCTCAATACAATTTTTTTTCCATGGCAGAACCCGTTCCTTCGAGGTTTAACTTAGTAGCTGTGGCTATTGGGGTGTCTATTTGTTTGGCCTCGTCCATTTTGAATCTTTTAAGCAGTTTCTTGACATATTTTTGCTGGTGAATTAATGTACCTGTTGATGTTTGCTTTATCTGAAGTCCCAAAAGGTAGTTTAACTCTCCAATCATGCTCATCTCAAACTCATTGCTCATAAGTTTAGCAAATTTGTTTGTGAGTGCCTTATTTGTAGCACCAAAAATGATGTCGTCAACTTACACCTGTACAATTAATAGATCTTTTCCTTTGTTTCTGAGAAAAAGTGTGTTGTCAATTTTACCTTTTGCATATCCATGGCTTAGGAGAAATTTTGACAACCTATCATACCATGCCCTTGGAGTTTGTTTCAACCCATAAAGGGCTTTTTCAAGTTTGTAAACATGGTCAAGATAGTCAATCTTCTCAAAACCAGGGGGTTGTTTAACAAACACTTTTTCTTTTAGTAATCCATTGAGTAAAGCACTTTTTATATCCATTTGATACAAGGTGAATTCCATTTGTGATGCAAATGCTATGAGTGGTTGCTTCCAGCCTTGCCACAAGTGCGAACGTTTCATCATAATCTATCCCTTCTTCTTGATTTTACCCTTGAACTACCAGCCTGGCTTTGTTTCTAGTTATTGTACCATGTTCATCTAACTTGTTCCTGGATACCCACTTTGTACCAATTATAGTTCTGTTTGGTTGTTTGGGAACAAGGTTCCAAACTTTACTTCTTTCGAATTGGTTCAGTTCTTCTTCCATGGCTATTATCCAGTCCGCATCTTGAAGAGCTTCACTGATCTTCTTTGGTTCTATCATAGACAAAAATGCATTGAAGGCACAATGATTTGTCATACCTGACCTGATGGTTATTCCAGAATTGAGATCAGTGAGTATATTGTCTAAGGGATGTGATCCTAGATATTTGTAGTCTTTTAGGACCAAATTTGGAGTTTCTGTATCTTGATTATCAGTAGGTTTTGTTTGTTCTTCTTCAGACACCCTTTCTAAGTTTTCCTCTTGGTCATTTAGAGCATGGATGCTGATTTCATCATTTTCATCGAGGAGACATGTTCCTTTTTCCTGTTCTTTTGCATTATCAATGGATGACTCTGAGATTTCATCATTTTCTGCAGGTTCTGGTTAGTCATAGTATTAGACTCATCAAATACAACATGAATACTTTCTTCCACACACATGGTTCGTTTGTTCAGTACCCTATAGGCTTTGCATTGTGTGAAGTATCCTAGAAAAATTCCCTCATCGCTTCTTGCATCAAATTTTCCTAATAGGTTTTTTTTATTATTATGAATGAAATATTTGCATCCAAATATTCTTTGATGCGAGATGTTTGGTTTTCTACCATTTAATAGCTCATACGGGGTTTTATCTAGCAATGGTCGTGACATACATTTATTTATAGTGTAGCAAGCAACATTAATGGCTTCAGCCCAAAATTGGTTTGTGACTTTACTAGCAATCATCATTGTTCTAGCCATTTCCTGGAGGGTTCTATTCTTTCTTTCAACTACCCCATTCTGTTGTGGGGTTCTAGGAACAGAGAAGTTATGATCAACTTCATGAGAGTCACAGTACCAAGCAAATTTTGAGTTTTCAAATTCAGTACCATGATCAGACCTAATTAAGATTAATTATTTGTCAAACTTATTTTGGAGTTTCCTTATAAGGGAGCAAAAAGCTTCAAATGCATCATATTTAGAGGCGAAAAAGAGTGTCCAAGTGTTCCTGGAGTAGTCATCAACTAGAACAAACACATATCTTTTCCCTCTCCTGCTTTTTACTCTCATAGGACCACATAAATCCATGTGTATCAGTTCAAGGGATCTGGTTGAGCTTATAACATGTTGTGGTTTAAAGGATGATTTTACTTGCTTTCCTAGAGTGCATGCTTCACAAACTCTTGTCTCTTTGAATTTTGTTTTAGGCAGTCCTATAACTTGTTCATTAGAGATGAGTTTATTTAGTTGTACATAGCTAGCATGACCTAAACGTTTGTGTCATAGCAAAGGATCCTTGTCAATTACACTTAAACATATTAAGTTTTCATCAGATATTTTTTAAGTATCCACTGTATATACATGTTTATCTCGATTTCCTGTCAAAACAACCTTCTGTGTTTTGAGGTTAATAACTTTAACATCAGTTGATGAGAAGATTACCTCGTTTCCTTTATCGCACAGTTGAGATATACTTAGCAAGTTGTGTTTCAAACCTTCTACATGATATACTTTGTCAATTGATTGTTCATCTGATCTACCTATCTTTCTGATGCCTTTAATTTGACCCTTTTTTCCTCCACCAAAAGCTACCATTCCACCTCTTTCTTCTTTAAGTGAGAGAAATTGTGATGTATCTCATGTCATGTGTCTCGAACAAGCACTGTCCATGTACTAATGTTGCTTGCTTTCTCTCACTTTTTTCTGAAAAATTTCACAGGTTAGCTTTAGGCACCTAGATTAACTTGGGTCCTTTACTAGAATCAAAATGATGAATAAGATCTCTATGTATCCATTTAGGTAGATTAGATTTATTTTGAGTATACATGTTTCTTTGAGGTGTCTTATATGTGCCTTTTGTTTTAATTCTTGGACAATTTAACCTAGAGTGATATGAGTTACCACAGATGATGCATAACAAAGGATTATCAATTCTAAGTTGTCAAAAACCTATTCCAATCTTTTGATTTCGATGATTATTTCCCATATGTGATACAATCATAGATGACTTAGTCCATTTATTTGCTTGTTCAAGCTCACATTTAGTCCTAGTTAGTTCAAGTCTCATTTTTGTTGACTTTTCTTTTTTAGAACGCACTACGTCTTTGAGCCTTTTAATTTCAAGTTCAACTTTTGACTTATCACAGATTGTGTCTTTACATGTTTCTTTCAGTTTCAGGATTTCAATTTTATTGGACATGTTCCAAGACTCTAATTGTTGAACTTTCTGTGATAAAAGCTTGTTTTTCTCTTTTATTTCAGCATTGAGTTTTTCAAGATCTATATACTCAAATTTTAAACTAGTTAGGGAAGCAAGTATTTGAGTCTTGGTTTTAACTAGTACCTGGATTGTCTCAATAGATGTGAGCATTAGAAAAGATAATTTTTTCTTAGAGAATTTTATTAGCTTATCCTTGAGATCAGGAAGGATTACCTCTTTTTCTTCAGACTTTGAGTCAGGTTCAGGTTCTGATTCTTCTATGGTCATCAGAGCAATATCATCAGCATCTTCTTCATATATCTCTGAACATGTTCTCAGGCTGCATGCATAGCTTGCTCCTTCCCTTTATTTTTTTTTGTTTAAAAATTCCTTCATTTCCTTTTCAGCCCTTTCCTTTTTCCATTATATTTTTCACATAGGACAATCCTTAATTTGATGATCAGTTTTTCCACACTTGAAGCATCCTCCACTCTGTGGTTTCTCTGTACTCTTCTCTTTGGTGGGTGGTGTCCTTTTTCCAGAATTTATGCCTCTTTTGAAAAGCTTTTTGAAGTTTCTGTTGATCAATGCTAGTTTATCATCATCCATATCTGATTCATCACTTTCAGTTGCTTTGAATCCAAGGCTTTTTTCTTTGCTTCTTTCACTTCGTTTATCAATGTTTATCTCATATGTCTTAAGATTACCTACCAGTTCATCCAAAGTCATATTGGTTAAATCCTTAGCTTCTCTGATTGCAGTGACTTTTATTTCCCATGATCTAAGCAATGTCCTGAGCACTTTGTCTACCTGTTCCTCAGTGGTGTATACTTTTCCCAAAGAGATTAACTCGTTTACTACAGTAGTAAATCTGGTGATCATGTCTTGAAGAGATTCTCCGGATTTCATCTTGATGACTTCGTATTCGGTGCATAGCCTTACAATTCTGAATTTTCAAACTTGAGTTGTACCTTTATGAGCATTATGTAGAGTATCCATATTTGTTTAGCAGAGGTACAACTTGAGATGCGATTAAACTCATCAGGTCCTAGTCCACATACAAGAATGCGTTTAGCTTTTTGCATTTTTTCCCAACATATTATAGTCAGCTTCTCCGTATTTATCCTTAGGTTTTGGGATATCTTTTCCTTCACTATCCTTAACATTAGGGATTAACGGCCCATCAGTGATTCTAACCCATAGTTCATAGTCTTCGGCTTGAATGAAGTCTTTCATCCTTGTTTTCCACCATGAGTAGTATTGATCATTGAATAGTGGTGGTCTGTTGATATGTTGCCCTTGACCGTGTCCAAGAGGAGGTGCAGAACTCATAATGATCTTTATCTTGAGTTATTAGACTCTTGATTAAGATAACCTGCTCTGATACCACTTGTTGGAATTCTACCCTCCTGAATTATGTAAAGGAACACGTACTCACTACTTGTTTCTCTTTGTTTGAAGCTTAACAATAAATAATTTCGTATAACACTTTGCTCAACACTTTGTATTATTTATAAACCTTCAAATAACACAATGATTACAAAGCTATATAACCTAAGGAATTATAAACTCTAATTCCTAACTACCCAAGACAAAAAACCCAGGTTTAAGTCTTCTATTCGTTCTTCAAGTTATTCAAACTTGTCAAATGAAAAACCTACTCACAAACACTTGATTGTATTAAAAAAACTCTTGACTACAATCGTACAATATTTCTCTCAACTCGCAGCACTCCCCAAAATAAAAATTAAAACTCTCACAAAACTCTTGATCGTGTTTTGATATTACTCTCTTTGTGAGTGCACAACTTTCTTCAAAGAAACTATTGCCCTATTTATAGATCACGCCTCCTCAAAGTCCTTGTTCAACTCGAACTTGTCTTCGCCGCTAAAAAGCCTTGATTAAAACGAACTTGACTAGGACTCCTCCTTGCACTCGGCTTTGAAAGGAAAATTGTCGCATAGTTGTCCTTAATTGAATGAGAAATAGTTTTCCTTAATTGAATAAGAAAACTTTGTTAATCATGAACTCCTTCTTCTACTCGTATTAGATAATACACTTTGTATGCACTTTGACACAACCTATTCTATGTACTTTGACATTCTTCAAAACTTAGAGGCTTTAACAATATGAAATATGAGTGTTGGTATCCATTTTTCCGGTAAAAAAGGTCGAGGGAGGTGATTGTAGATTTAGAAAAGTAATACAATGAAGAAAAAGAAAAATGACTTGGAAACAAATTTGAATAAAAAATTTGACCTCCATTGAAGGAATTTAAGCTTCAAAAAATGTGGGAGGTGGTAGCTTGAAAAATGGAGAAGAAGAAGAAGAGAAAATAAAATAAAAAATAGCTAAATTGAGTCTTTCATGCTCTATTGGTGAGTGTGTCACACTCACTTTGACATGTCAGCAAAATGTGTCAAAATGACACAACGAAACCTTACATAAGGTATCTAAAATGAACATCACCCAGTTGAGATATCTAAGTGAAATTTAGTGCCAACTTTAGGATGCTACCAATGAGTTTGGCCTAAAAAAATACATTTATTTTCAATGGTGCTCTACCATGAGTCCATGACTATTAAAATCTCATATGACTTTGACATTTAGGGGAGTTGTAGATGTGATTGGCATGCCACCTCATTATCCACTCCCCCTTCCCCTTCCATTTCTTCTTATATAATTTTGTCTGTGTTTCACACTGTTATAAAATTAAGAAAGAGAAGAATATATGAACGAGAATAATTTCTTCTTACAGATTTACTTGGGGTATTTCATAGAATTTTCTTGTGAAATACTTTCATAAATATCGCTAGAAATTTTCTTTTTTTAATTAGGAATTTTCACTAGGTATCCATTTTTCTGGTAAAAAAGGTCGAGGGAGGTGATTGTAGATTAGAAAAGAAATACAATGAAGAAAAAGAACAATGACTTGAAAACAGATTTGAAGAAAAAATTCAACCTCCATTGAAGGAGTTTAAGCTTGGGGTATTTCATAGGAATTTTCTTGCGAAATACTTTCATAAATATTGCTAGAAATTTTCTTTTTTTAACTAGGAATTTTCACCTCCAATATTCCTTTGAATTTTCTTGGAGATCTTCATGGGGAATTACTTGCAAATTATTTCCATAATAATCTGCAGGCAAATTCCTTTTGGTATAAAATTTTACCAACTAATTCTTGCAAAATTTTGGTAGTTAATCGCAAATAACTGACCTGTGGATTTATTTCCGCAGCTGAATTATCTAGGGATATTTTATATCCGCAAGTAAGAGTTACCTATAAAGATTTTACTATCTGATTTTATTTGGCAAGAAAATCCACAGGTAATCAAATTAGCTAGCTGGGGATTGTAATGTATTATCCCACTACATAAAAAATGATTATTAGCGGCAATTAATTAACGATAGTGACTTAATTATCGCTAAATATATATTTTTAACAACAATTAACATTCTTTGTATGTGTCCCTAAAACCTTTAGCGATATTGGTTCTAATGTCACTTAACTAATGCCGATAAAAAATTTAGCACTCTTTATTAACACAAAAAAAGATCCTTGGATGGATTAACAGGAACTCCTGCAGATTTCTACAAAAGAATATGGAAAATGGAGCCAGAATTAAAGATATCATCTTACAATTATATATGTAGGGAAAAGGCAGTGAGTGTAAATGGAAGAGTCTACATCCTACATAGAGTACCCAAGCACTTTGTAGGCTAGCTCAATTCTCTTATCTATCGGTACAATGCACATGGGCTCAGTGGCGGAGGGAGGATTTTCATCAAGCGGGTTCAAAAAAAAAGATTAATCACATAAATAATAGGCACATACATATATCTAAAAACTTAAATAGATCATTACAATTGTACTCTACGAAGTTTCATATCTTGAAATGTCTTAATAATAGCATCATTAGGAATACTATCAAATACATCTTTTTCTACAAAAGGCACCAAATAACCACTAAAAATATCATCACTCATTTGACTTCGCAAGTCATTATTGATAAACTTCATTGCCGAGAAAGCTCTTTCAACGGATGCAGTGGCAACTGGTAGAAGCAGTGGCGGAGGGAGGATTTTGATCAAGGGGGTTCAAAAAAAAAGATTAATCACATAAATAATAGGCACATATATATATCTAAAAACTTAAATAGATCATTACAATTGTACTCTACGAAGTTTCATATCTTGAAATGTCTTAATAATAGCATCATTAGGAATACTATCAAATACATCTTTTTCTACAAAAGGCACCAAACAACCACTAAAAAAATCATCACTCATTTGACTTCGCAAGTCATTCTTGATAAACTTCATTGCCGAGAAAGCTCTTTCAACGGATGCAGTGGCAACTGGTAGAAGTAGAGCAAGTTTCACTAAGTGGAACACC